TTTCAAGGAAATTGATCGGCATTTTTTTAGAACCGGATTTACTAATAAATGATCACGTGCTGGACCGTATCCTTAAGCCTGAATGTGTTCAAGAACCACTTATGGAAATCATATATAATTTCATTCTGATTTTGATAAAGTTTATTTCTGGCCTCTAATCTCCATAGTTTACTAACATGGGTTACTCTAACCAATGCCATTGTAGGAAGGTATCTGAATATATTTTCAAGAATTTCAGGTATAACTAATGGGTTATGAATAACTGGGAGTTGATTTTGCATACTCATTTTTTTTATTATTACACAAATAAATTTTTTTGTATGATACCTATACTTCAGATTAATTCAATTCATTTTTTTATGTGGGAAATATAGAGGAAATTGGTACAATGGCACAAGGAACTGGTACAATTAACAAATTTTTGATGTAATTATTGAATTTGGCATTCTAGACATGGATTTAATACCTTCCTGGTATAAAGAGGGTTTGGTACAATGGTACAAGGATCTTTTTGGATATTTTATATATATAGGTATAGGTATATTATGAAGTTATAATTTCGTCCTTGTACCATTGTACCAATGATCATTAATTTTGATTTATATTGATTTTGATGATATTTAGGAATAATATATATATTTTTTGGTACATTTGTTGGTACAATCTTGGTACAAGGTTGGGGTTTTGTTCTTTGTAGCAGTATATTATATGGGAATTTTTTTTATCTTTGTGGCAAAAAATTTATTTTGAGCCTCTGTCTTGGGGCTAGTTTTAGAATTTTTGTATGAGCCACGAAGGGGTGATACCTCAAGGGATTCAACCAATCAGGTCGATACATTCTCTCCTCCAATGACTTTGAGAAGGCCTTACACACTTATTTCTTTTTAAAAAGGGGGGAAATTCGAAGGCAAGGTTGTGGTTTTTGATGGATGTTTGCATTTTTGGTGGCCACTAATTTTGAAAATTTTCTTCTTTTCTCAAGCATCAATGTGGCTAGCTATCTATTGAAGGTGGTATTTTTTAATGTACTCATAATGTCCCTTCCTATTGGGGGAAAGATCAAAGCTTCCAGGTCAGGGTTTCCAAATAAGATCAGAAGTTTGGCATTGTTTGATTCAACAAAACTTACAATCAGTATACTGTAGTTTGTGTCAGTTGGCTTTTTATTTGATAATTTAGGT